TGATAGCAAATGTGCTATCTTATTATTTACTTTTTAACTCAGCCAAGTTTTTGGCTACCAAGACTGCTTCTATTGAGCAGCATAATGATTTGACACTTCATTTGGAATCAGTTCCAATTAATTTAAATTAGTGAGAGGCAATCTCTAGCAATTATAATAATAAGAGTTTAATTAATTGTCTTGTTTTCGTAATAACTTCAAGTGGCTTCCTATCTGTCTTCGCCGGAATGCTCCTATTCTGTCACTTCTTTACAATGTTCTCTTTAATCCTTCCTTTCCTTCTTATCTTAAGGATCGTTTTGAATTCCTTCTCTAATCCCATTCCAAAGTTTTGAGATCATCAGAGAATTTTACATTAAAAATGCCTGCCCATAATTGCAAATTTATGGACAGGTCGTTTAGTATCCAAGCAGTCCGTCTATGGAATGCCCAACCTCTGTCAGTGAGACGCGCCCAGTCTTTACCTGTTTTTCAGAAACTTGTACACAGTCACTATCTTAATCTTTGAGTTCGTGCCATCTATATATGTAGTATACATTCGTATTTTTTTGTATTTATTTGTTAGTTATTTCTATATATAATATGGATATATTTATAAATATTGTTTCTGCATCACCAAACCACACAATTTTACTGCTTTTTGCGATACTGTCCATCCAAAGGTTGTCTGGAAGAAATCGCTTTTAGATTTAAGACCGCCCATTGTGACACTATTTTTTTTTCTTCTTCTTTCGTTTATATATTGATTTGGTGTACAATAAAGAATTATCTATCTATCTATCATGACTTATTAGTGTAAGTAATATTTTTTATATATTTTTTCTTTTTCTCTATCATATTGCCTTTTCATTCTTTTTGTTTAATTGTTACAGTAATTCCTGTATCGTCTGTATGTAACGCGAAGAATGTCATTATGTTGGTATTTTCGTAAGTTTTTCTGAAGTTTATTTCTGTTTCTTATACGGCGTAAGATTCCTGCAGATATCCACGCTTGTATTATTCCTTCACTGCATGGGATAGTAGACACTGATGTATTTAGTTTAAGACTCAAAAAATTTGTCTATTAAGTTGTTAGTTACAGCCAATGGATCGTTACAAAATAATAATTCTGATAAGTTTTTAGTCTGTAGGTATTTTAAACATTTTCAAAATTAGTAGTTTGTTTAATTTATTCTTAGAAGCGACTCGTATTGCTGGGTCTAGTGCGACCTGTATCGATAACGTTTTCTCAGATGTTAAGCCCTTGCATAAATCCATCTTTCAAAATTTAAGTTCAGATGACTGTGGACAGTGGGTCTCGATGTATTACATACACAAAAAAAAAAACAGAAAAATGAGGAAGTTGTGTTTCTTCCGATAAACGAACATCGTTTAAAAGCGACAGTAGCCTAATGGCAGGGCGCGGACCGCGAACTCAAAAAGGTCGTGGGTTCGAATCCACCATTCGACTACTGGCGTGAACCACTCGTAACACAAGCAATTTAAGCTTACCACGAGTGGTTAATGGGAATATTAGTAATATTTATAGCATTGTTAATATTCTTTATATAATAAAAAAAAGGTTTAGGAGTAATATAGTATTACGAGCTTAGGGTTCGTGACAATAAAAAACTGCCGATTGAATTACCAAAATTGATACTTTAATTATCGAACACCAATTAAAACTTAAAACACACTAATAATTAATCGCATTTAACATTTTAGTTCACTTTATTTCGCTCCGAAGTCCTCGCTTGTATTGCCTATTCAATACTACTCCAGTCGCGGCGCTAATGCTTTTATATAGGGCCTTTTCTACTGAATCATCTAGAATGTTCGAGTAGAACATACAAGAACAAGGAATGTCGAAAGTTCTAGCATCGAACTTTACAGAAAGCTTAGTTCTGCTACTAAATACTAGATGGTGCTAGTGAATTTCCTAGAAAGATCTTGACGCTCCTATTTCTGCTACTCGATACTAGATGAGGTTAGTACCATATACCAGTCATCAACTATGGCGCGCAACAATAGTAAAAGGACTTCCATCATTTTCTTTTAAAAATAGTGCTGATTATTTAAATGGTGCATTATTTAAAATTATAACTTGTGAATTTAATAAAATATTTACTTCTAAAACTTTCTCTTTAAACAGTCGCAAATCATTTAATGAATGGGCGACAGTAGGCATTTATAAAAGTAGGCGAATGTTATACGAGCTTTATAATGAAAGATCATATAATCAAAGTGTGATATTTAGAGAGTATGTTAAAACTTATTCTAAAATTTTTAAAAAAGTTTGCTCCACAGTTTTTTACGTTTAAACAACAAAATTAAAACTGCATCTAACAAAATTGAAATGACGTGGAGTATAATTAACAGTGAAACAGGCAAACCACGCAACTCTGATCTTCAACTGAATTTTAACAATAATTTGACTCAATCTGATCAAGAAGTTGCTATGAATTTTGAGAAACATTATACTGATGTTCCTTTTTTGACAACAAAATCATTAAATTCTTTTCCTACTATCGCCGAATCATTGCTTAAACAAAATGTAAAGGCTTGTTCAAATATTTTTAAATTTCAGAGTATTGCCAAAAGATATCATTAAATATTTTAAAACTATTGATGTGATGTGTGTGATGTGATGATGATGTGATGAAGGAAACGGCAGTTTTGTGGAGGAATTCCATTAAAGTTATTGCATCTGTAATAGATACAATAGCACCTTATCTTGCCACTATTTTTAATACAAGCGTTGAATCTGGTGTGTGCCCTGATTTAATTAAACATAGTAAAGTTATACCTTTATTAAAATGTGATAGTCTATCAGACCCCGCCAATTTTATACCAATTTCTGTACTAAACTAACTCTAAGTAAAATTTTTGAAAAAATTATTTCACATCAGATGACAAGTTTTTTTAATAAAAATAAATTGCTCCACACAAGTCAATTTGGTTTTACAAGGGGTCGCTCGATAACCGATGCCGGAATTGAGCTTACAAAACATATTTTTTGTGCATGGGAGAAATCAGAGGATGTTTTGGGTATATTTTGTGACCTTTCCAAGGCCATCGACTGTGTTCACCATGAGGCATTAATCAGGAAGCTACAGTAATATGGTGTCAAGAACACAGCGCTTCAACTAGTTATTTCATATTTAAGTAATAGAGTGCAGAAAGTTATTATCAATGGTAAAAGCTCTTCCGCATAGCTCCTACAGATGGGTGTCCGTCAGGACTCAATTCTTGGCCCATTCCTATTTTTAGTGTATATGCTGCTGCTGTAAAAAAGATTAGAGATCTCACTAGTGTCGAGACAGCTAGATTAGTTTATTTCAGTTATTTCCATAGCATAATGTCATATGGGATTTTGCTATGGGGGAATGCGGCTGATTTAGAAACTATTTATGTTTTGCAGAAGAGGGCCATAAGAGCTATTTACAACCTTACACCGAGAGAGTCTCTTAGAGAAAATTTAAAGAAATAAATATATTAACTTTGGCCTCTCAGTATATCTATGAAAATTTGATGTATGTTCACAAAAACAAAGGTAGTTTTAGTAAAAAAAGTGATATACACTCTGTTAACAGTAGGAACAAACACAAGCTAGTGATACCAGTTTTTCGACTCCACAGAGTCAGAAATTCACTGTCGGGGCAATGTATACGCTATTACAGCAATGTACCAGAAAATATACAAGGTCTTTCTATTACCAGTTCAAATATTTAATTAAACAAAAACTGTATAAAAAGGGTTATTATGATATAAATGAATACATGGTTGACAATAACCCCTGGGAATGAGGTGGTCGCTTCCAAGCTGTTCCTAAAATAAATTTTGTAAATAATTTGTGACCATTGACATTGTAAGATTTATTTTTTAGGAAGATACCCCTTCTTATCCTTATGTGACTTTCCGCAGCCATCATCCGCTCGCCCAGATGACAAAGAATCGTACTCCACTGCCCCATACATTGCTCGAGGAAGTCTCTAACTGTACAGTCTATCTTGTACAACTCGAGGACTCTCTTTAGCCATGTTTGGGGCACCGAGTCCAATGCCTTTCTGTAGTCTATCCAGTCGGCGGAGAAGTTCCGACGGTTGCTTTTCACCACTTTACCAATGACCGCGTCAATGAGGAGTGGTTTCTTGGTTCCACGATCACCGCCCCGACATCTATTTTGAGCGCGAGACATCACCTGATTTGAGTCCAGGTGACGAGTGATTCTCGCACTCAAAATGGATGTTAGTGTCTTGTATATGGTCGGTAGACACGTGATGGGGGCGGTATTTGTTCGGGTCTGTGGTATCCTGGTCTTTAGGAACCAAATGAGTGATCCCAGTAGTGAAGAGGCTCGGGAGTGACTTCTGGTTGAGAGCATCTTGGAACTGTCGGGCGAGTACAGTGTGACACACCATAAACCCCTTCATCCAGTAGTGATGCAGCCCGTCGAGTCCCGGACCTGGAAAAGTCCGGGACTGGACGGGCTGCTGCGACGGTTCGGGTCCCTACGGACCGCCTCGGCTACGTCATCCGGCGTTATAATGACGGGGTCCATGGGCATTATACTCGCACACTGACTCGCCACAACTTCCGTCCAAGAGCCCTCGCTGTGGTTTACGGGCTCTGATCACAGGCCGCGCCAGAATGTTACAGTGTCGGCCTGATTCGGTGCTGGGCCCGTTCCACTTGCCATTAGTCGCTCCAATGGTTCATAGAGCCTCTTCTGATCACTGTGGAAGAGACGATTCTGGTTGAACCGAGTCGATCTCTCGGTATATCGCCGAATCCGCTTTCCCCAAGCAGCGATTCTCTGCTTCAGATCATCTATGCGCTCCGTCAGTTTTTGCATTATATCCGGCTGGGACAAACTGACATTTGTCCCAGCAAATGCCATCCTGACGGTGCGCACAATTCTTGGCCTGTTATTGCCTGATCTGAAGCATATCAGTCTGCCGATGAGAGCTCTAGCCTTTGCGATACGCTCCTCAATTCTTTTTCTCCATGCTGGGATAGCGCTACTTTGGCCAGTAGCGCGTCCAGCCGTGGAAACCTTGGCGCCTATGATACGGCAGACTGTCAGTGCGGCGCCAAAAAGAATTGAGGAGCGTATCGCAGAGGTCCCGACTGGCTTCCAAATAGGTCACCAGCATTGGGTTCAGAGCCCTCACGACAGCCCGATTCCGCTTGTTTAGGGCTATGCGGGGAAGTCGCGGTCGATTTTCGAGAGGCGTACTGCGTGTTTCCATAATCGCCTCTTCCAATGTACTCCTCATTTGCTCTATTTCTAGTTCCTGGGCGAATGTTCCATCATCATTTGAATCAGCCACCACTGGGGTATTCACGGCGGTATCCACGTGTGCGGGTTGTTCTGCAACTTGTGGCACCGCATCCTCAGCCGTAGCATTTTCATTTGATGAGGGAACAGCCTCACGTCGTAGCCGTTCGAGTTCGGCGTCATCAAATATATTTGAGCGCAAGATATACCGAACTCGGTCTGCCAGGTTTTGCACGGTGACGGTTACAGATGGCTCCAGCTCAGCAAAAAGTCGACGCATCCTTGTCCGATACGCCAAACCTCCAATTTCTCCCCCTATCGTCCTATAATACGCCCGCAATGCGTTGCTATTCATTGAGATTGTCCAACGCATGCGGCGTATTCCACTAGTGGTGGGTGCCGATTGCTGGGCCCGCGAAGATCCTGCCGTCACCAAGCCTGCTTGTGGGGATAATGGATGCGAGGTGCTACTAGGTGGTCGAGCAGCACCTCGCGCTTGGCTGGCGGTTCGCATGCTGTCACGTCCAGCGCCAGCTCCAGACGCGCCCCGGCGACCCCCAGGCAGCAGTCCTTTGCGCGTTCTATCAAATTCCATCATCCATTTTAATGGGCGTCATTCAACGGGAGACGCTCAGACCGGGCGCCGTTTCATGGTGAGGCCATCTGCACAAGCGGGCCTTTGCACCTTCATCTTATGCCGAGGCACGGCACTAAAACCTCTTGGCAAGGTGCTGACTGACTTCGCTCACGTAGTGGTTTTGTCACGTTACCGTTACGTCAGCGGGCGATGGGGTCGTCACTTCCCTACGCCTATTATATATTATATATTATTAATATTTTCGCCGTACACGTTTAGTTCGTTTTTTGCCTACATGGCAGAGTCATGCTGCAGCTATATTATGGTTGTAATAGGTTGGCTCGACCGGGGAAGGACCACGCTCTCACAGAATACCAGCGTTAAATAGCAGCTCTATGCCGCGGTGTTTTGTATGGTGAGTGTAGAGAACCAGAGACCCTTTTTACAGGAAACGAGGCGTTCTGTCTTAGTCATCACGGGTGGCAACGCATCTGCATTTTGATTCCTAATCGATGATAAATGTCTTTGGGCCCACAGCATCCACTTAACATCAGGTGGACTGTGTGCTCGTTTGTCACCCTTATTCTATAAAAAAGGAAAGGCAATGTAGTAACTAACGAAAGATTTTTAATTTAAGACGTCTTTAGATGTAGCTAATATCGTTATATCAAATAGTCACGTTCGAAGACTGCACACAATTTGTATATGAGACCAATAATTGTCGACCGCAGTGCGAGTTGCTTAGCCATGTACGTTTAAGTCTGTTCGCAATGAAATGGAAAATTATACGTGGTAGAGCTATGCTGTAGCTAAATTATGGTTGTATCGCAAATGGCTCAGCTAAATCGGGGAGAACCATGTTCTCACAGAATACCAGCGTAAAATAGCAGCTTTAATACTGTTGTATATCGTTAGAAAAGAATATTGTATAAAAATAGATTGATCCTTAGGTCGCCAAGCCGTGGAAGAACACTTTTCCCTCGTTACACCTCGAATCTGCTTTATAAAGTATAAAGCACCATTTTCTACGATTGTTAATGCCCCTTAGTACCCGGTTGACCGAGCTTTGCTCGGTATTTTTCGCTCGGTTTTTTTTAATTCGTGTATTTCGTATATTCGTACTGATGAAATACGAATAATATTTTTTGGTCTTAACGACATAATAGAAAAAACTGAACTGGTTATTTGAATAAAAAATCATGAGTGCAATTAGTTTAATTTAAATTTATGTGTTTTTAAAAATTACTAAAAAAAAGGCTCGAAAAAATAGATTTTCTCAAAAAAGAAAGGAACTTGAAAAACAAATTAAAAAAAGTCGGTCGGTCGGTCTGGGCTCTAACCATGGTATTATGATTTTGTGACCGCCCAATATATCAATTAAGCTATTTGTAATCATTAATAAACTGTCAAAATTACCTTCTTATTCTAACGATATTGTAGCAGTTTTTCATTGCCTAAAACACGGACAAAAAGACATTTTCTAAAAATAAATCCTAGCTAGATCGATTTATTGCCCCCCGAAACACCCTGCACACAAAATTTTATGAAAATCGTTGGAGCCGTTTCCGAGATTCTGATATATATATATATATATATATATATATATATATATATATATATATATATATATATATATATATATATATATATATACAAGAATTGCTCGTTTAAAGGTATAGGATAGGATTTATTGATTTATTTTGCATAGTGCGTTACAGTTGTTATAAAAAATATGGTGTATAAAATTATTGAATTTTAAAAATATTATGTATTACTACTTAATATTTATAATTTTATATCACATTATAATGTATAATTATCACAATTTATTAATTTATTCGTTAAATGTTTAAGATACTTTTGTTCCAACACTCGCTAGTCGAATATAGAGATTTATTAAATATCCACTTCTTCAACTCGTTTCCGAAACGTTTCGTCGATTGTAATTCTAGGTATTGCATTAAATATTATCTATTTTCTGCAGCAATAATTAACTGTTTTCGGTATTTTATCGATGAATAATTTACCTGGATTCCTTAAAAGTTTAGATTGGATATTTTATGTCGCCAGTAGTTATAAACAGCTTAGCGTTATTTTTCGCAAATTTTGCTGTTTCAAGGATATATATGCAAGGAAGTGTTGGTACTTTTAACTTTCTAAATATTGGTTTGCACTATAGATGGGGGACCATACTGTGTAGTCCATGTCTGTAAGCTCTAAAATTCTCATGCTTCTTTGTACGGTTGTCAGCCAAATATCTTCGGTGACATTTATTATAATAAAAGAAAAACTATAATCATCAAACAGCCCTACTCACGGTATAATCCAATTACACTGGCTGCGGTTCCTTGCTGAACGGTTGCAATTTATTTTAGATTAGAATTAAGCCTTTGTATAGTACTATTATTTATTCTGTGCTTTGAGCGAGAAAAGAATGAGTTCTCTTGCCTCCAGCGGCAACGACAAGTTGTGACTAGAATTTCTTTAGAATACCGCGCGTTGATTCCACGGACCAGTAATCTCTATCTCTTTTTATTTAAAAGATTAGTGGCTCCATCATAATCGACGATTCATGCCAATATCAAAGTTGAGCAATACAAGGATATATTACCGAAAATGAAAAAAAAAAACTCGTAAGAAAAAGGTTTAAGTTTATTTCGACTATTAGTTTCAGGGATAGTTGTTGATTATTTGTACATAGCCCAAGAAGTTGAGAAACCTAAAAAGGAAATAAACACCACAAGATTTATACTGACTTGCCTTCCTTACTTTTCTGTTGCATCCTTCTTTACAATTATAATATGTAAAAAAACCTTATGGCGTCTTCTGTTGGCCTACAACAAAAGCGTCTTTTTTTTTATAGAAGAGGGGGCAAACGAGCATGTGGCTCACCGGATGTTAAGTGACTACCGCCGCCCATGATCAACCGCTACACCAGGGGAATTGCGGGTGCGTTGCCTGCCCTTTAGAAAGGAGTAAGCTCTTTTTTTGAAGGTCCCCAGGTCGTATCGGTCCGGAAAAATCGCCGGTGGTAAATTATTCCACAGAGAGGTTGTACGCCGAAGAAAACTCCTTTTGAAACGTACAGTGGTGGACCGCCAAGCATCCAGATGGTGTGGATGGTATCGGGACGTTTGCCGTGTAGTGCGTTCACGAAATTTGGCGGCTGGGATTAATCCGAACAATTCCTTCGCGTCTGTAAAAGAAGTCGACGCGATCGATACCCACATGTAATCAAGATTCAAGACGAACTGAATCTGCACTGAGTGCAATGCCTGTCTTGTCTAAACCTTCCAAGATAAAAATCAATGTAAGAAGCGTTAGTGAGTGTGCCGGGTCACCCCAGGGGTGTGAATAGACTATATAATCACGTAGGAGTGTTCTCAAGGAAGACTGAAGCCTTCCACATCTGAATATATTGTTGATGCCTAGTTGAAGTTGATCGCCGCAGCCGCTAATCATGAGTTTCCCTATTGCATTTACCCTTTCTGGTGGGCCAGACTAATTTTCTCTCACTGTAGGTAAATAGTAGCAATTCCAAAATAAGGTTCTATTTATTTTTCTTTCAAGTAAAAAGTGTCGCGATTAACACAAAAGGAAGATCAATCCGTGAATTCCCTATTCAACATTTGACCAAGATTAGTTACCAATCACATTGAAATAAATATAATAGATTAAAATATAATGGAGGAAGTTCTCTGTCTCACAATTCTCTCTAAATTACACAAATATGTTTATGTTTATTTCTCGGAGGTTTATGGGCTAATTTATAAAACTCTTTTTTTAACTAAAAGTATTACTTTGTACAAATACCATTTTAGTCTTCTAAATTATTTCTCATCATTATCATTACAGCCCTTCACAAGTCAACTGCTGAATATAGGCCTCCCCCAAGTAATGCCCAAAGCACGATCCTGAGCCACCTGCATCCATCGACTTCTTGCATGTCCTACCAGGTCGTCACTCCATCTAGTGGGGGGTCGCACTATACTACGCCTACCGGTACGAGGCTGCCACTCGAGAAACTTTCTTCCCCATCGGTTATCGGTTCTTCGAGCTATATGGCCGGCCCATTGCCACTTCAGCTTAGTAATCCGTTGGGCTATGTCGGTCACTCTGGTTTTACTGCGGATATGCTCATTTCTGAGTCTATCACGCAGAGAAACACCAAGCATACTCCTCTCCATAGCTCGCTGAGCGACTTTGAGCGTCCTCATACGGCCAGCAGTGAAGGACCACAAAATTATTCCGATTCTGATTAACCATTCTAGTGACGATACCGCGGTGTCATTAGTGACCACATCTTTCTGATAGCTTATCTGGTTGAGAAACACTAACGGTACCGTACAATCACTGTCCGTTTTCGTTAATTACCGCATCTACCGTAAATTCGTAGTTCGTACAGCCTGCGCGTGCGCATGGGTGGGGGTGACTCCCACTAAGCGCAATAGTACCTTCGCTGCCTTCGCGGGAAACGCACGTGCCGACTAGATTTTTTTTAAACTATATTTCGATCGATAATTATTACGTTTTCATTTACGGTAATTGCTCTAATTTGTAAATACGTATATCAGTGCGCTTTTTAAATTATGTGTAACTGTGAACGTGTGTTCTCAAACTGTGTTTGTGTGCGTGTAGATGTGTGTCATTGAATGAAATACGCTCACCTGCTGCAAGAAGCGAAAATGTGACTGTTTGTAGTTGCAAGTGTTTTCCGTCGATCCCTGATCGAAAAATGGCCTTTACTGCCAGCTTATAATATACTGATGTTCACTAAAATGCACGAGTTTTTAAGGATCACTTTGGTGTGTTTGTGTGCTATTCTCTTGGCGGTACATGATGGTAGGTGTGAGGAAGACGTGGTCTCGTCGGATGCGAGTGTGGAATCTGAAGTAATCACGCGATCTGATGACGCTGAGCAAGGGAAGGAGAGCAAGAGCAGTTTTTTACCAGGTAAAGAGTGTGTGTCTATCTCTACTCACTCACTCACTCACTCTGTTTCTACTATAGCTCATCACAACTGTCCACTGCTGAAGTTGGCCTCCACTAGATTGTCGCAACGTACGGTCTTAAGCCACCTACATCCACCTACTTGCCTGTGTCATCAGGTCGTTATTCCATATAGTGGGGGGTGGGGGTGGGGCAATACTACGTTTGCAACTACAAAGATGCTGTTTGAAAACCTTCCTTTTCCGTCGGTTGTCGGTTCTCTATGTGTCGGAGCTATATGGCTTGACTATTGCCACTTCAGTTGATTGATCACCTGAGCTATGTCAGTTGTCTTTTCAAATTTTATCTCGCAGGGAAATTCAGAGTCTCTCCATCTTACGCTGAGTGAAATTGTGCTACCTCATTCGTATTGGGTGATCAAATTTCGAATCAAAAACTTGCTTTATGGACAACAGAAATTGCAATAAAGAATTTTTTTAATACGGCTCTACTCAAAATTTGGTAGAGTCACTGACTCTATGTTCAACTTCACCGGCGAAGTTTCGAAAATTCTATTAATGCATACTTTTTGGTAACGAATTTAAAAGTTGAAAATTATATAGTCTATTTGTGTTTAATATACTTAAATATGTTTCTTTTAATAGCATAACTCAACACATTTAACGGTAAGTAATATCTGGCATAGCTATGGAATCTAGCTCTTCAGGGTCCTTTATTATTTATCATATAAGGAACCCAACAGGTTTAACACATAACAATTAAGTTATATGATGGAACCAGACTAACTAGTTAAGTTACGCATGTAGAGAAAAAACCTATCATTCCGCGTTTATAAAACGAGTATTATGATAACACCTATGTAGTAATATCTAATACCTACGTAGAGTTTATTTTGATTGTCGCGTAGGTGTAGTGATTGTGAGCGCGGTTGCTGATTATGAGGTGCCGGGTTCGAAACCGAGTCGGGTTAAAATTAGTTATTGGGTTTTTTGTCAAAAAAATTCAGTAGCAGCCAGTTTGGTAGCACCGAATTATCCACTCATCATCATTACAGCCCTTCACAATTCCACTGCTGAACATAAGCCTCCCGGATTAGTAAGCTGAAGTGGCAATGGGCGATGGGGAAAAAAGGTTCTCGAGTGGCAGCGCCGTACCGGTAGGCGTAGTGTAGGGCGACCTCCCACTGGAGTGACGACCTGGTAAGACATGCAGGAAGTCGATGGATGCAGGTGGCTTAGTAGCGTGCTTTGTGGCGTTCCTTGGGGGAGGCCACCTACTCATAGTAACTCTGTACTCTCTCTAATTAAATGACTGTTTCCTGCACGGTTTTTGGTACTTTACATACGAGAGGCCGGTCAAAGAATTAATTATCATTCCCGGTTCATGCAGGATATGAATACGTAATCAGGAAAGAAAATCGTAATAACTAATCCGGTGTTTTCAAGAATTATCTACATTTTCTTCTAACATGTCGTAAGAAGATTGATGTTTATTTTTTTAATAACATATATATACATTGAAGTTTTGTTTGTTTTTTGTACAATATTTATTATCACAATAATAACTACAACTTTAAATTACCAAGAACTCTAGTTGCGTTTCCTCGCTGAAGGGCTATACTTATTGGCCTTTGAATTTGTATGGCCAGTGAGTCTTTTAATTCGACTAAAGTAATTTTAATAGAATACTGGCTGGTACACCGCGAATTGCAGCCGCAGAAGAAATAATTGTGGAAATATCGTTTTAAATTTAATTGGAACAGTTACAATGTTTAATTAGGCATGACAATACATTCATGAAAATTGAGTGATAAATAACTTTTAATGAAACTATTTAATACGAATTTTATTGCGTTTAACTAACTTGTTCAATTCGTGCTTTACAGCACCCATGGTCACGGGGGGGGGGACTGAGATGTTTGACATCCCAATGTCATAGTTAGCCAGGATACCTTCAGTTTTTGAATATTAATTTTTGGTCCGATCTACACAGAACGAGCTTACAGTACCATGAAGTCTTACAGTAGTATGCTTGGGTTTGGGTTTAATTTTGTTAACTGTAGGATCCCAAGCAGCTGGCAGCGCCCATCCATCTTCTCTATTGAAATTAGGATGTTTTATAATTTCAATAGCCTCGCGTATCATCCTTGGTAGGAATCGGTGTTCTTTTGCGAGGATTTGTGATTTATCAAATCTGGTGTAATGGTGGGGACGATCTTAAACATGTACACAGACTGCACACTTCTCGTGCGTGACTTGACGTGTTTTATTAAATGTGTAGTGTTCGCGTAAATTTAAGAAATCATTGTGATAAATAACTTTCAAATAAATTTACGCGCTTTTTATTATTATACGCGCGTTTTATTGTACTATGCAAGTGCAAGCAAAAGTTTGAAAAAGTTTTATCGCAATCAAATGAAAGGTATGGCAGCGCATAAAATACGAACAAACAAACGTTAATTTTTATATATTAGAAGGGTGAGAAACGTGCGAAGTGTTGAGCCTGAATATTAAGATGGAATACCTCATTTACTGTAAAAAGGGTCTCCGGTTCTCTACACTCACCGTACGAAACACACCAGCATTAACCTGGTATTCTTGCAGCATGGTTATGCCCCGGTTGAGTCGCAGCACTCGTGCTGCAGCGTGGTATGTTGTTTTGTTTGTATGTAACGCGATATCTTTGCAACCGGCAAAGATATCGCGTTATAAAATGATTTTAATTACTTTTTAATTGAATGGGTTACATTTCAGAAATAGTCCCTTCAAATTTCCACCTTGAGGGTGGGAAAGTAGGGGCTGAAGTTTTGAATATACCCATTTAGACTACATTACAGTTGTACCTCGAGCTTGTGATATTCCTTATCCTATCAAAACTTACTAAATAGTAAGAGTCGACTTTAAAGAATTTAAAAGAAAAAATACTTTCCACGTTGCATTGCTAATGTTCAGAATTTCTTCAGCAGTCGGGGCAGAATAATTTTTCCGAGGGAAACCGAATTCAGAATTTTTTTTAATGTTGGAAATCAACTTTAACTCTTTTAAATTCTAAATAAAAATAAATATACGGTGTACGGAACATAGTACATGAATATTCAACAAAATGCGTGCAACATTGCAAGTATAAACAATCAAATCGTTATGTTGAAATCTCACTTTCTGCACGGTATATTATATAAAAGTCACGTATTTCTTGCAAAGTGATTTGTTATCAATAATAGACGTTTACAGTGTTATGTATAGAAATAAAATATTTACGTGATATTTCTGTGTTTTTTGCACCTTTATGCTTCGACCTGGAAATCTTGATGAAGCGGGAGTTTTCGCAGATGCGATATATTCGTTTCTAGCTTATTGCTAATAGATTAACTTTAAACATCTGTTAAATGGTTGAAGCTGCAGACCATCCCGTTCACTTCCCGCTTATTTTTCAAGCGCAACGCTATTTAATTTTTGAGTTCAATTATTATTTGAGATGTTTAAAGGGCTATAACTTTTGAACGCGTTGATTTTGAATTGCTCGACGACATTTGACGCATTTTTTTAAACACATAAATTATTGTTTGTAAGATCTTGAGTCGATAGATCGAAGAATTTAAAAGTTATCTCAAAAAAAAAAACAATATTTAAAAAAAAAATTAAATGGCAATATTTTTTGGACACGTCGTTCAATTTTGACTTGCTTGGCGGCATTCGACGCAGTTTTTTTAAGTATAAAAAAGTGTTTCTTTAATGTTTGGAGTTGCTTAATCAAATATTATGAAAGTTATTTAGAAAAAACTTACAGACTATTTTTTCATTTTTTCATTTTGAAAATCACGAAACTGCTCGACTGATTGACTTAAAAATCTAATCAGCTCGAAGTCTCAATGCATACTTTCGAACGCCGTGTCGGCCATCTTCATCAGTTGTGGAGATCTGATGAAAACTCGCATTCTCAAAATCGGTCTGAAATCTATAACTTCCTACTTTTGAAAATTATTAATTATTAAAGCGGGAAGTTGAAAAAATGAAATGCCGATATCGAAAAACTAAAAGGAATAATAAATTTTCACATAATGAAGTCGGTGCTAAGATATAGCGAATAGAAGGGTTAAAGTCCCGCCTTCCGGATATGAAATTAGTTCTATAAAAAGTTTTTTTTAATTATGAGATGGTTACAGATTTATGTGTTACAGGTCCTCATCTTCTTCGCCACCTAAATTATCTATTTGATTGTTCAAACCAATCAGGGAGACCAATTTCGAAACCTATTACCCGGAAAATGTTTGCAAAAAATGTCTAATAAATTATTTTGATTTAAGTTTTTCATTGGTGCTGGTAGCACACTTGAAATTGCAATTAACAATTTCATTGGTGCCGGCGGGCATCGAACCCAGACTACTCGCGTTCTGTTATATTTACAGCGAGCGTTAACCATCTGAGCTACCACTGATACAAGTTTTTTCTCCCTTTACTTAAGAGATGCATGTGTAGCAGATTTTAACCTATTTTATTTTTATTTCTTTACTCCGTCTTCTTTTAAAAGTAACAAAATGTAGTATAGTATATAGACTAGAGTTATAAATACGTTCTTGTAAAATATTGGATCAGTATAAGAACTACAGTATTGCGGATTTGTAACTAACTATAAAAATACCGCAATACTGTGATTTTTATTTTCATTTGAATTTGATGTAAGCATTTGAGAATTCAAAGCAACAAACTGTCTAATTCGTATTTGCAATGACGTGATCAGCGTAAGCCTTCGTAATGCATATATAACAATCAAATGACTTGGTGGTGACAGAACCTAATTGTTAAGTCATAGGTCGAATACTAGCTGGAGAAATATGTGTGCGAGAACTAAGGCGCGACGTCAGTTTTGAAAAAAAAAATAATAATGTTCGACTCTTAAAAAAAAGTGAATAGGTTTCTTAATATTAAATTGTAAGGTAACGTATTATCATTACCAGCTTAATTATTATGTCTGGTAATGGTCGTGGTCGCAGGCTTGCGAAATAA